TCTACAGGCAAAACCTTTATCCATGATGACAAATGGATAAAGGTTTTGCCTGTTCGGAAAATGTCCGAATTACCTGATATATCATGAGAAGAGTATTAATTAATTTTTATAATATTACATGCAATAACCTAAACAGGAATTGATTTATGTTTACTACTATATTTTTCTAGAACTATACGCACTATACATATCACTATACATATAGTATTATACGTATAGTACTGATCTGCCCATCTCTACACCAGAGTAATTGCACAGGAGGAAAAATACTCGGGCTACCTATTGTTTAATCATCTTGCCATAAACATATAGGGTCTGGGACACTTTACCAACACCCACTTTACCAACAATCAAAGTAAAGTCGAACTTGATGTAGAAATGGTCTTGCGAGGAACACCACAACCACAAGATCGTAATTGTGAAATACAGATTCAAACAGTATTAAATGACTGTAAAGGAGTAATGATATTGGCGCATGATGTTTCACGTGAGGAAAATATATTGACGCCTGATTTCATAGAAAACAAATTAATTTAGTTAATTTAATTATTATTATTATTACTGTTATTTTTTTTTAAAACAGAAGAATGCCGAAAGATCCGAAAAGGAAAAGAAAAGAAAAATCGCATTTTTTAGAAAAAAAATATGACGAGTAAGTGTTTTATTTTTTTTAAAGTGGTGGTAGTTGCATGCAAGCACTATTGCTATTCTAGTTATAATAATAAAACAACACGTAAAAATATTTATTTTGAACATTCTAGTAATTATTCTTTGTCCTCTTCATCTTCATTGAAAGTAAGTTTATCATGTTATTTCAAATGGATAAGACTGTTTGTTTTATTTTTAGTAAGTTTAGTTTCTGATTATAAAGTTTAAAACTTAAAGATTCTTAGGGAAAGTAGTGTTCTAAAACTCAGTGAAATATATAAAGTTGATGAATCTACCATAGCAAATATCTGAGAAAGGAATAATGATCTCTTAGATGATCTGGATGATTCATTTATAAATATAACAAAAGTCTTGGATAGCCACTTTGACGAAAATAATGAAATTTTAGATGACAGGAATAACTCATCAATCAATCAAATGATGCAAAATTACCTTGAATCACAAGACGGTGAATCATCATTTGAATATTATAATAATTTATCATCTACATCTGGTCTTGATAATGAACCATTGATTGTTGAACATTCTAAAGGTAAATAATAGATTTGAAACTCATTCTTTCTACAAAATTTATTTTATTACTATTAACAATAAAATACAATAAAGAAGATGTGAAAAGAAGTTTGAAAGTTGCTGGGGGAGTAAAAAAGGTATATTTTGTTATTACATTAATTCTCTTATTCTTTTGTTAAAGAGGTGTTTTTTGTTTTATATATTAAAATAAAAACCTTTTATTTGTTTATTAATAGTCTTATCACCACAAACCAGGAACTGTAGCTTTGCATGAAATCCGTCACTACCAGAAAAGCACCAACCTTTTGATCAGTAAATTATCTTTCAAACATCTTATTAATCAGATTGCTCAAAACCTTCAACCAGACACAAGTTTTCGATCATCTTCTATCCAGGATTTGCAAGAAGTATATTAATATATAAATATATATTATTTAAGGACTAGTGCTGTAATTTTTGATGGTGGTAGTAATCATAGTTGCATCATATAAAAAGTGGTTGCAATTACCTTTGCAACCACTTTTACAATCGATTAAGGTTTCTGGTCCAAACTGTTTTCTCAAAGCCCAAACTAGTTTGGGCAATTTGGGCTTCTCAACATTTTCTA